CTACTACTACTACTGCTACTACTACTTCTACTACTACTACTACTACTACTACTACTACTACTACTACTACTACTACTACTACTACTACTACTGCTACTACTACTACTACTACTACTACTATTACTACTTCTGCTGCTACTACTACTGCTACTACTATTACTACTACTGCAAGTGCTACATACTACTACTATTACTACTGGTATTATTTACTACTACGACGACGTCTACTACTACTACTACTACTACTACTACTACTACTACTACTACTATTACAACAACTACTGCTGCTGCTACTACTACTCTGCGACAAAGATGGCGCAGAAAACACACACAGATTGTGTACACATAAACCAAGAAGACAGTGAGATAACCAGAGCTTAGCGCGTGTGACAGGTGTGCCTTGGTTTCACCAACTTGATAACCAGGTCAGACCAGCACCTTATCCCACCTACGCTGGTCTACAGGCGGCCGTTCTTGTCCTAATCTAACAGTGTTATATTGTTGAGTCGGCGTCTGTGGCTTAGGCGTTGCGAACGCGCTTCGTAATGCCGAGGTACCGGGTTCGATCCCAGCTGCAGACGGTTTGTCTTGCGTTGCTTTCGACAGTGGTACTGAGAGCTGACCGTACACGTACAAAACGCAAAACTTGCCTAGGAAAACCACAACAGCTAAAACTACATCAGCCTCTAGGTGCCGTTTGGCCTATAAAATATAGGTCTAGTCCTGTATACCCAGAACGCTTGAAGACGGGGAAAAAGTGCCTTTATTTTTTACTTTTTATCATCATCATCATTATCACCAGTATGTGCTGAATGGTAAATACAGCGGTACTTCGGTACACTTTCGCCTTGGTAAACGTTCGCCTTGGTAAACATTCTGATCAGACGCGAAAACGTTGCTTGGCGTTCGATCTTTTTCGAAGAATGACCAGACAATGTCACAATTCCGAAACATCATGAGGAAAAGGCAGAAGTAAAGGGTCCTTTACTTTTTTTTTAATTTACAGTGGCAGGTATCTGACTGCTGCAGTACCTCTCCAGTGTTATGACGACCTTATACGTTCGACCTTTGTTTGGAAAAACCACCCGCGTGCTAAAAATTGTGTGAGTAAAAATTAGTCACGACACCGCGAGATATTTTTGTGTAGCTGTTGAGAGACAAAGCCACGAATAGATGTCAGTGACTTGGCAGAGAAGTATAACCCCGACAGAGCTCCAGAAAGCTGTAACATCCTTGCCAAGAATGACCAGACAATGTCACAATTCCGAAACATCCTGAGGAAAAGGCAGAAGTAAAGGGTCCTTTACTTTATTTTTTATTTACAGTGGCAGGTATCTGACTGCTGCAGTACCTCTCCAGTGTTATGACGACCTTATACAGGTCCTGTAAGTCCACTGGTGTATCCGTCCACCCTTTTCCGTGACTGATCTCGTCCAGGTCACATACTTGCTGGATTAGTTTTTTTTTTTCTGCATCGGTCATACAGGAGGAACCTTTTGAGACTGCTCTATCTGGTATACATCCTGTCTGGTAAACCATTGGAGGTCAGGAACGGATAAAGTACGCATACCAAGATATCACTAAAAATACAAAATATTTCAAATAATATGACATGTTTAAGCATGCCTAAAAAGTAAACTTCTATGCATAGTTATAAAGGGGAAGGGGCACTTAAACAACTTGTTGGGGGAGGGGGCGAGTTGCTTAATATTAAACAGTTATTTGGAAAAAGGAGGGGATGGAATTAAGCTGCTCGAACCCCGAGGTTTCAGCGCTCCTATAACCAGAGATTATCACGAGTGACAACTGTGGTGTGTCCTGGTTCCACTAACCAGGTAACCAGGTTTCCCCCCTCGACCATTTTCTCGGTTATTGCCCCGCCGCTCTCTCAAAGGTCGTGGTGACGTCACGAAGGAGACAAAGATGGAGTCTGATACAAACAGCATGTGAAAGTCACAGCTCCTTCTGTCCCCACTCCCGTGCTTCTTTCTTCGTTTCGACTTGGTTCAAACAGCCGGAGAGCTTCGTAAACTTGACATGCAGTCAGTGGCACAGTATGGGAGGATTGTCGCCCGAGCCATTGCTGCGGGAATTCATAACGAATTTCAACTGAAGAGTCCGTTTGACAAGCCGAAAGAACCGCTTCACTTGGTGACTGGCGCTTCAGGGTTTTCTAAGTCTTTGACCAAATCAAGCAATTTTACTAAGTGGACTTTTGGGGACGATGCTTATTTCATCTCTAGGAACAGATATGCTGATGTTATAGGTAGGTTTTCATTCATGTTATGGTGTATTCTGCCTTATTCGGAGTTGTCTGGGGCAACGCAGTCATGCGAGGTTCCGTTCACCTTGAAATATACCCTAGGCCTAGTTGGGATCAGCTGGGGTCTTTTGAGAATACCGAAGTCCTTGTTCGATGGCAGCTGGTCTGCAAGTACTCCTGTGCTTAATGACAACCTAGCACTGTAACTTTTATTTTGATAATTCAGTCCATTCAGTATTGTTCAGAGTTCTTTTTGTTTTTCAGTTTCACATGTAATGAATTTCTTTGTTTTGACTTTGTACCTCACATTTATTTGTGGATTGTTTTGTTTGTTCCCTGACCGTTGTTTGTCCTCTCGTTTGGGTCCTTGTCAGTCTGTTTTTAATTGCTGTTAATTACTCATCCAAATATTAATATGACAGACTTCCAGATTAGTAAATCAGCCCTACTTTAAATGGTGACCACAATCTTTTGTCATCTGACCCTAGGAGACGTAATCAATGTTTTTTTAGGGAGTGTAAGTCCCGATAATAATATTCTTTATTATTTATTATTTTTGAAGTTAGGGTTAGAGATAGGGCTAATCCGAACCCTACCCTGACCCGAACCCTACCCTGAAGCAATATTAAATGTTACAGAAATATATTATGTAAATGTACTCAAAGAATGGATTGTGTCCCTTACTAAACAAACAAAAGATTTCATCCCTTAGAGTCGCTGTTTAAAGTAATGCCAGTAAAAAAAAAAAAAAAAAAGATAAGTAAATCATGTATCACTCACACACCCCTAGATAAGTACATCACTAATCACCCACACACTCGTAGATAAGTACATAACTTATCACTCACACACCCCTAGATAAGTAGATTGCTTATCACTCACACACTCCTAGATAAGTAGATTGCTTATCACTCACACACTCCTAGATAAGTAGATTGCTTATCACTCACACACTCCTAGATAAGTACATTACTTATCACTCACACACCCATAGATAAGTACATCACTTATTCACACACCCCTGAATAAGTACATCACCTACCACCCACACACTCATAGATAAGTACATCACTTATCACTCACACATCCCTAGATAAGTACATCACTTATCACTCACACATCCTTAGATAAGTACATCACTTATCACTCACACATCCCTAGATAAGTATATCACTTATCACTCACACATCCCTAGATAAGTACATCACTTATCACTCACACATCCCTAGATAAGTATATCACTTATCACTTACACATCCCTAGATAAGTACATCACTTATCACTCACACATCCCTAGATAAGTACATCACTTATCACTCACACATCCCTAGATAAGTACATCACTTATCACTCACACATCCCTAGATAAGTACATCACTTATCACTCACACATCCCTAGATAAGTACATCACTTATCACTCACACATCCCTAGATAAGTATATCACTTATCACTTACACATCCCTTGAAAAAGTACATCACTTATCATTCACACACTCCTAGATAAGTACAACACTTATAATTCACACACTTCTGGATAAGTAAAAATCACTTATCATTCACACATTCCTAGATAAGTAGGTCACTTATCATTCACATACTTCCACTTACATACACCCATGTTAGTCTTCTACTTCCACTAATCATTCACTCACACACACATATGCCTAGGTAAGTATATTACTTTTACAAACATAGAGAAATGTGTTCCACTCATCATTCACACATAAAGGCAAGCAAGCAGATTTTTTAGCTTCCACTCATCATTCAAAGACCCTAGCATTGTTTTGTCTTACTTATCAGTATGCAAGAAGAATTTGTAATTCACTCATCAGCCGGGAATATGTTATGTTGGTATTTTCACACGGGGATTCCCTGGGGAATAATGTGAGGAGGAAACCTCGAGATGTGACAGAAAAGGGGATAAGGCAAATACTCGTAGATACACAAGGTACTCGAGCGGGGTAGACGAGCACGTGAAGCTACGTAGAACCCAGCACAAGGTTCTAAGACTAGACAAAGATCTACTCAGACAGTATGTGTTTGCCAGCCAGTGCGAAAGAGTGGATCTTCAGCGTGAATGTAACAGTGTATTTGGCGACATGAGGAGTTCTGTTCTGAGAGAAGACAACAAGATGACAGCCTGACGACGATCTGATCCGAAGTGGCAGCCAATCAGTTTCCGATTGCTCAAGAAGTTGAACCACAATGCTTAGAACTGCTGGAGCAACCATGGCGTGTATGTATTCTGAATGTGAGGAAGGAGGACTGAGAGGTACTGAGTGCGAACGAGAGAATACTCCAAGTTGATGTCTGAATAATGCCATATTATAATGCGGGACTTGCTAGTTCGTAGTGGGCACTGAATGGACAAATGGTTTGTGAAATTGTAATTAAGTGTAATATTGACATATCATCTTCTCATACCACCTGTGTCTACTTAGAGTGTCAATCATGTCTTCTGGTACCACCTGTGTCTACTTAGAGTGTCAATCATGTCTTCTCGTACCACCTGTGTCTACTTAGAGTGTCAATCATGTCTTCTCGTACCACCTGTGTCAATCATGTCTTCAATAAGAACAAACCCCTAGAAACCAGCTAAGACATGGAGGAGACAATGTCAAAATTGGCAGAATCACTTAAAATTAATATTGCACTTATCATTGGCCTACACACATACACACGTGCAAACATACAACAACAACCATTCATTTTGTCTTGCCCACACTCAATGTTTTCTGACTACACCTGACGATATTTGCTGCAGGAGACAGGGCTCCTCTGGGAGACAGGGCTCCTCTGGGAGACAGAGCTCCTCTGGGAGACAGGGCTCCTCTGGGAGACAGGGCTCCTCTGGGAGACAGGGCTCCTCTGGGAGACAGGGCTCCTCTGGGAGACAGGGCTCCTCTGGGAGACAGGGCTCCTCTGGGAGACAGGGCTCCTCTGGGTGTGTTGATTCTGAAATCTGTCGATACCAGAAAGATTCTTATCAGGTGCTCAAGGAGGGAGGGGAAATTACCCTTATAGAATGAGTAGATTCTTTCAAAGAGACTGAATATACAGTGGGATGGCCAGGTGTTTTAATATCCTGTAGCCAGATGTAAACAAACACAGTGTTCATTACTTGGGGCTCTGAGAGTTAAATCAGTAGACAGGCCATCCATTTGGTTGCCAGGACCCTTGTGGGGGTCAACCTAACAGGCATGTCTCATTAAAGGGGACACTCCTTGGTTAGGGATTTGTTGAACTTAAGTGTGAAGGACACATAAATCATAGCCTAGCTGTAAACCACAACACAGCATGCTAACCACTTTTTTAAATATGAATAAAGATGAAGAATGGATCAGATGGTTTGGGCAAATGTCAAGATTGCTACCAGATAGTGCACCACAGAGGGTCCTGTCACTTTGCTTTACCAGTATGTGCTCTGAGACCCCATTGTTGGGGGGAGGGGAGGGGAAGAATAGACGAGAGCCTGCCAACAAACAGTCTGCTTACAAATAAGCCAGATCTGTAAAACAGATCTGCATGCAAAACTCAAGTTCTGGAACAAGAGCAAAGTCTAGAAACAGACACACACACACACACACACACAATGCTAAGAAGAAGAAGCAGAGGTGGACCTCGCAGGCAATGGATGGATGGAATATTTGAGGCCATAAATACCAGCATCTACATACCAAGGCTCGCACCTGATACCTCATCAGAATCTGATGCTGAAAGGCAGCACAGCGCTAAAGAAGAAGTAGGCAGGTATTATAGAAGCTTGTGTAAACAGAATGAGGCTAGTCTCTAACTGGATGCCTAAAGTTGATATTGTCAGGTTGTTGCTTGACTGTGGGTGGGGGGGGGGGGGGGATGTTTCAGCTGATGGTGGCTAGATCCTGTTTGCTCTGGGCAGATCCTGTTTATGCTTTTCATGAAGTTCGAGTGTGAAACATTTATCTCTTTTTATCTTTTCATTATTTCTTTCTATCTCATCTATCTTTGTTATCTCTGTCTCATCTTTCTCCATCATCTCTTGGCTGTTTTATGTCTCCCTCCATTATCTGTCATATCTCATCTTTCTCCATTATCTTTGTCTATTTAATCTTATTTATATGTCTATCTCATCTTTATCCGTTATCTTTGTCTGTATAATCTTATTTATATGTTTGTCTCATCTTTCTCCGTTATCTTTGTCTATTTAATCTTATTTATATGTCTATCTCATCTTTCTCCGTTATCTTTGTCTGTATAATCTTATTTATATGTCTATCTCATCTTTCTCCTTAATCTTTGTCTGTTAAATCTTTTTTATACGTCTATGTCATCTTTCTCCTTAATCTTTGTCTGTTTAATCTTATTTATACGTCTATGTCATCTTTCTCCTTAATCTTTGTCTGTATAATCTCACTCTATCCCTGTCTCTTCTATGTCCATCATGTGTCTACTTCATCTTTGTCTATCTCTGTCTTTCTCATCCATCTCCATTATCTCAGTCATCTCTCCATTATCTCTGTCATCTATCTTCATTATCTCACTTATCTTTCTTTCTTATCTCTCCATTATCTCTTGCCTCATTTCTGTGTCCAGCACACTGTCATCTCACCTCCATGTCTCTCACTGCCTCTGTTGCCACCATCATATCTAACTTATCTCTTTCCCTCCTAACCTGACTCCATATCTCTTAATCTGACTTTTTTTTTCCCCATTGGTCTGTTTGATTGTCTCATCTGTCATCCTTAGCCACCTGAACCAGATGATCCCCAACATGCAGTCCCGGGCACATATTGTTCTCACCCTTCTAAATCCCTCCACAGCCTTCTCTTCAAATATCCTGAACTCTTGGACATCAGAGAAAAGCCACCTTACACTGTCATTCTGGGGGGTCCTTGGAACATCTGCAGAGAAACTGAACCTTCATAAAATAGCACCATTTTACCTAGAAGGCTTAACATCCAACACCATCTTGTCAGATATCTTTGAGTTACGATCCGTGTGGCTTTTTCTGGCCACTGTTGGCCAACGTGTTTCAGATATTCTTTCTGGCCAAATGTGATTTCTGTCAGGGATTGATCAGTTAAGTGATCTTGTGTAGTCTTGATTCTATTTGTGGTATTGTGAAGTGGCTAGGAACTCGCCTGCTTATCTGAAGGTCGTAATTTCAGGTCCTGATGGGGCAAAAAAAAAAATTTTTTTAATGACCTTGGCTTTTAGGTTGACCTAGCCTTAAATGAGTACTGGATAAGTCCTGGGAAATAAAGGCGGCCATCATGATGTTGACCACATCACGCATAGAGTACTGATTGGTCTGTAATATATAGATGTAACCCTAAATGCCCAATACACCTGAAGGTGTCAAAAAGGGGTCCTTTACTTATGGTATTTTAGATTTATATATGTGCTGATGAAGGCTGTATAGCTGCAGCGTTCACTTATCATCTGTGTTTGTGATGTTGTGAAGCTGACTGGTTATGCTTTTCACATGGTTTCCCATCTTGTCTTCATGAGAGTGGTACTGGACAGCTCCCTAGCTTTGAAATCATCATCCTTACTCATATCTCCAATCCCTTCTAAGGGAGCTGAGTGATCTCCAAGCACGGTGTCCCCTCGAGTGCTGGACGTCCCAGTGAAGGTTGGGAGTTTGTGATGTGGACTTCTAGTAATTTCCCCTGCTCTTTGGGTAGTAGGATTGCATGCTCATATGCATTGTTGCGCATGTAAAAAAAAAAAACTCTTGGTAGTTGGGAATCAGAAAGAGTAGCCTAGCGGCGCTGCAGGGCAAAATTTGTAGTTTAAAATCTACCCATTGTAGTTTGGGATCCTCGCCAGCACTGCAGAGTTCGTGCACTGCGCTAAGAGTCTTTGGTGTTGATCCATTGTTCAAACCATCAGAAGATCTAACACCCCCCCCCCCCCTCCCCACCTCTTTAGAAAGGATCAGCTGCAGAGAAACCTGGCCCCTGCTGGTCTGTATTCACATGCTAATCCCACAAGGAAGCCTGCTATTATTAGAAGCAGACGTGAAAACCTGTTTTCTTCTCAGTGACAGTTTCCTTACAAAAGTTCTTGCTGTTTATGAAGTTTGCACTCCAGCTGTTCCTTACCTTATCTGTGTGGAACTAGAAGATTCTGTTTTCTTAACATATCTTCATTTTAACCCATTTTCTAAACTCTGTCTTCCAAACACATCTTCATTTTAACCCATTTTCTTTTTCTAACCTATCTTCATTTTAACCCATTTTCTAAACTCTTGTCTTCCAAATATATCTTCATTTTAGCCCATTTTGTAAATTCTGTTTTCCTAAACTATCTTTATTTTAACCCCATTTTCTTTTTCTAACTTATCTTCATTTTATCTCATTTTATAAACTCTGTCCCGCTACACATCTTCTATTTAACTCATCTCCTGATATGGTATTATATGTTGTAATTGCCCTTTAGGAATGGTCCAAGATTTTGTCTTTAAAAAAAAGGAGTGGAAACAGTTATATTTACAGAGATATTTCAGTGGAAATGTTAAATGAGGAGGATTGACTTCATTGTTTTTTCATGTATAGCTTCGTCTCTCTATCAAAGGGTTAGCTGTCTACCTAGAGGTCTTTTAAATTATATAATGGCCCACTGACCATATTTCCCCAAGTATAAGACGATCCTATGTATAAGGCGCACATTGTTTTTGGAATGGAAATTCAGACAAAAGAATTATATGATTACATTAAGGTTTAACCCTATATGCCCAGTAGGCCTGAAAGTGTGGAAAAGGGTCATTTACTTTACTTATTGAACTCACCTTTTATTTAACATAGAATCGATAAAACTCATCACTTTCAAGATTCTCATCGCTTTGATAGTTCTTTGGCTTGTCCTCGTCTGTGTCTGATGATGAATCACTGCTTTCATATATTGTCTCATCCTCAGCTCTATCTGGGGCATACGTAAATGCCTCACCTGCTTGAAAGATTTGACAATGATCTGATGTTCACTTTGTCCAAGGATCTCTTCACTCAGATGTAAACCTCTCCTATAGTTCAGTGTCAGATTGTCCCCAGAAGACTATCCGTTGCTTCCATAAACCTCTCATATAGTTCACTCACTACCTGCTAGTGTCAGATTGTCCCCAGAAAACTATCTGTTGCTTCCATAAACCTCTCCTATAGTTCACTCACTACCTGCTAGTGTCAGATTGTCCCAGAAGACTATCTGTTGCTTCCATTAAACCTCTCCTATAGTTCACTCACTACCTGCTAGTGTCAGATTGTCCCCAGAAGACTATCTGTTGCTTCCATAAACCTCTCCTATAGTTCACTCACTACCTGCTAGTGTCAGATTGTCCCCAGAAGACTATCTGTTGCTTCCATAAACCTCTCCTATAGTTCACTCACTACCTGCTAGTGTCAGATTGTCCCCAGAAGACTATCTGTTGCTTCCATAAACCTCTCCTATAGTTCACTACCTGCTAGTGTCAGATTGTCCCCAGAAGACTATCTGTTGCTTCCATAAACCTCTCCTATAGTTCACTCACTACCTGCTAGTGTCAGATTGTCCCCAGAAGACTATCCGTTGCTTCCATCGTCTCTCATGGCAAATTTGAAGAGTTTATTAAACCTGACATCAAGTGGTGGAATCTGAGTGAACTCGGCGATTCCTAATGTAACAGTGTGCAACAGTTAGCACAAAAACTATAGCAGCGGGGAATAACTTTTTAATTTTATAATTGTTACCCCCCTCCCTTTCCCATTTTATGCCACCCCTCAACCGGCATTCCCAGTTGAGGCCCTGTATGTAATATTTTCTAACAAATCGTTTGGTTAAAAATCTACTCCATTGTGTAAGACGCACACTTTAGACCCTATATTTTTTTTATAAATAAGTGCGTCTAATACACAGAGAAATACTGTACTTTTGTTCCACAGATCATCTGATGGGGAAGCACTGAATATAAGCTAATTTCTAAACTAGATTTTTTCTAATGTTTTTTGAAACAGGAGTGGCAGACGGCGTTGGTGGTTGGAGGAACTATGGGATTGACCCATCCACGTTTCCACGGACACTGATGATGGTGTGTGAGAGGATGGTCCGGGAAGGCCACTGTCTACCTCAGTCCCCTGCCAAGATCATCGCTGCCGGCTACAGCGAGATGATGGAACAGAAAGTGCCAACTTTGGGTCAGTTTGTGAACACTGAGCCTCGCTGCACTTGTTGTCTGTTACTGTCTGTCTCTTTGTTGTCTGTTACTGTCTGTCTCTTTGTTGTCTGTTACTGTCTCTTTGTTGTCTGTTACTGTCTCTTTGTTGTCTGTTACTGTCTCTTTGTTGTCTGTTACTGTCTCTTTGTTGCCTGTGACTGTCTCTTTGTTGTCTGTTACTGTCTCTTTGTTGTCTGTTACTGTCTGTCTCTTTGTTGTCTGTTACTGTCTCTTTGTTGTCTGTTACTGTCTGTCTCTTTGTTGTCTGTTACTGTCTGTCTCTTTGTTGTCTGTTACTGTCTGTCTCTTTGTTGTCTGTTACTGTCTGTCTCTTTGTTGTCTGTTACTGTCTGTCTCTTTGTTGTCTGTTACTGTCTCTTTGTTGTCTGTTACTGTCTGTCTCTTTGTTGTCTGTTACAGTCTGTCTCTTTGTTGTCTGTTACTGTCTCTTTGTTGTCTGTTACTGTCTCTTTGTTGTCTGTTACTGTCTCTTTGTTGTCTGTTACTGTCTCTTTGTTGCCTGTTACTGTCTCTTTGTTGCCTGTTACTGTCTCTTTGTTGTCTGTCTGTTACTGTCTCTTTGTTGTCTGTTACTGTCTCTTTGTTGTCTGTTACTGTCTCTTTGTTGTCTGTTACTGTCTCTTTGTTGTCTGTTACTGTCTCTTTGTTGTCTGTTACTGTCTCTCTGTTGTCTGTTACTGTCTCTTTGTTGTCTGTTACTGTCTCTTTGTTGCCTGTCACTGTCTCTTTGTTGTCTGTTACTGTCTCAATGTTGTCTGTTACTGTCTCAATGTTGTCTGTTACTGTCTCTTTGTTGCCTGTTACTGTCTCTTTGTTGTCTGTTACTGTCTCTTTGTTGTCTGTTACTGTCTCAATGTTGTCTGTTACTGTCTCAATGTTGTCTGTTACTGTCTCAATGTTGTCTGTTGCTGTCTCAGTGTTGTCTGTTACTGTCTCAGTGTTGTCTGTTACTGTCTCAATGTTGCCTGTGACTGTCTCAATGTTGCCTGTGACTGTCTCAATGTTGTCTATGTGTTACCTGCCTAATGCTTTCACTTTGTTCTAACAGTTACCAACCAGACCATCTGTTCCTTAAAAAAAATAATCGTTTGTGGTAAAATACAAGAAGGTAGATGCTCTCATGGTGGCTAGAAGAAAATAAGCTTCAAAGACATGCTAGAGGCATCTCTTAAAGCTTTACTTGAAAGGCTGCTGCACAAGACTGGACTGAATGGTGTACTTCAGTGCGGGATTTGCACGCGACAGGTAGCTATGAACCTATGTTAACAACAGTGAAAAGATGGAAAATGCAATAGTACAGACATGTAACAAAATCTACCGGCCTCTCCAGGATGATACTACAGGGCTCAGTGGAGGAGAAGAGGTAGACCAAGAAAGACCAGGGTTCAGAATTTGACTGACGCGTCAGACATGCAAACATCAAGTCCAGGCAACTGACTAACAGAGATGGAGGGGGCTGATCGGACACTCACTAGCATCCGGTGACCCATTGATTAGTGGATTTGAATCCGTCTCCTTTATTTCATTGATTATTTATTTATTTATTCATATTTCAACCTCTTTCCACTTGTGGCAGGCAGCAGCACAGCTTGCATCGTATCCCTCCACCGAGAGGAGCGCACAATTTACTCCGCCAACTTGGGTGACAGTGGATTCTTAGTGATCCGAGATGGAGAAGTGGTCCACCGCTCCACCGAACAACAACATTACTTTAACACTCCATACCAACTGGCAGTGGCGCCACCGTCACAAGATGGCCAGTGGCTCAGTGATAGGTGCGTATGGTGTCTTAGCTCTCTTTACTGGTTGTTTCTTTGGTTGTAAGATGTCTAGGGCAAAATTCAGGTGTGTTGGCTTGTTGTTGAATCAGCTAAATTATACATTTTTGTTGTTGAATCAGCTAAATTATACACCTTTGTTGTTGAATCAGCTAAATTATACATCTTTGTTGTTGAATCAGCTAAATTATACATTTTTGTTGTTGAATCAGCTAAATTATACATCTTTGTTGTTGAAACAGCTAAATTATACATTTTTGTTGTTGAATCAGCTAAATTATACATCTTTGTTGTTGAATCAGCTAAATAATACATCTTTGTTGTTGAATCAGCTAAATTATACATTTTTGTTGTTGAATCAGCTAAATTATACATTTTTGTTGTTGAATCAGCTAAATAATACATCTTTGTTGTTGAATCAGCTAAATTATACATTTTTGTTGTTGAATCAGCTAAATAATACATCTTTGTTGTTGAATCAGCTAAATTATACATCTTTGTTGTTGAATCAGCTAAATTATACACCTTTGTTGTTAAATCAGCTAAATTATACATCTTTGTTGTTGAATCAGCTAAATTATACATTTTTGTTGTTGAATCAGCTAAATTATACATCTTTGTTGTTGAAACAGCTAAATTATACATTTTTGTTGTTGAATCAGCTAAATTATACATCTTTGTTGTTGAATCAGCTAAATTATACATCTTTGTTGTTGAATCAGCTAAATTATACATCTTTGTTGTTGAATCAGCTAAATTATACATTTTTGTTGTTGAATCAGCTAAATAATACATCTTTGTTGTTGAATCAGCTAAATTATACATCTTTGTTGTTGAATCAGCTAAATTATACATTTTTGTTGTTGAATCAGCTAAATTATACATCTTTGTTGTTGAATCAGCTAAATAATACATCTTTGATGTTGAATCAGCTAGATACTACATCTCGAGGAGGTTGCTGGGTGTCCAGAGGGGTAGTCCCCAGGGGCTAGGTTTATACCGACTAATTCCTCATTTCACCTTCCCATGGGACAACCTTTATATATACCTTTCTGTGGGGACATCCTGGGCAGGCACTAGTCTGTGAGATATCCTAGGCAGATGTCAGTCAGTGGGACATCCCAGCAGACACTCAAGAGAATATACTCCATTACAAGTTTTATCAACAGAACGTCCAACCGCCTGCTGATTGTGTCACACAAAGCACAAACTCTGTAGCTGCAGTGGCGATCCTAGGGATCTTTGTAAAAATTGCACCTATGAACCCTACGGCCCGGCTGTGAGACGAACCCACGACCTTCTTCGTAAGAGGGGAATTTGAGTTTGATGATGCAGATAGTGACTGAATCAACAATTCTAGGCACAGTGGGACGGCATAAAGTCAACAAAGCAGGCGGCAGCTTCTTCTTGTGATTGCTGTTTGACTTACACCGACTGACGAGTTCTGGCGATTAACATGACTCATTGGGCCAGAATTTATTTCTTAAGAGGCTGTATAATTTCCTGTAAATGTCATTTTACTGACTTGCCTATAGTGAACTGTTTACAAGACACATGGTTAATGCTATTGGTTTTGTTCACACCTGCGCAACTGGTGAGGAGTCATGAAATGACCGGGTTAACTACAAATTGTATTTAAGGGGGTTTTTTTTTAAAGCCAGTTTATGTCCTATTGTATTTTCTGTAACAATAGTGAATCCATTGCTGGCTTGCTAAGTCATGGCAACTTCATCTGAGCACAGTTGGCCAGGATATCTCGCAGTGACCTGGGATGGCCTTCATGGCTACCGTGACACAAGGACCACAGCATACTTTGCCCAGTGCTAGGAGTTCCATACTTTGTCCTGTTTATCACATCTCACGACAAAGATTGCTAAACAAGTGGTTTGCCCACTTGGAGAGAATGCTGCTTTGTGACGCTATACCATACAAGGCATACCCCAAAAGAGGAGAAGAACGTAGGTAGACCAAGAACAAGATAAAAAGATAACATCAGAGAAACTACAGTAGCATAGTGCAGAAGCAGAACCTCAAATTTCCTTCGTCACCCGAAGCAGTAAAAAAGGAAATGGAGAAGAAGCCAGGTTGACATTAAATTTTCCAGATGCCTCAGTGATAGAGGTCACGGAGTGATGACATGATACATATGTTTGTTTCAGGCCCTGAGAATCTTTATATATTTTTTGGGGGGGAAATTTAATAAATTTATTACTGCCCTTTTTTAAATTGTTGCTTATTTTAAGATTTTAAAAATTGAATTCTAATGGAATTTGTTTAGCGTTCCCAGGGTGTAAGGGTTAACTGGTAGTTATTTTAATGTTGTCTTTCATCTAGCCCTGAGATGGCAGAAAGCTCGTCTTTCAAGGTAGAGGATGGAGACATCTTAATGCTGGCAACAGACGGCCTCTTTGATAACCTCAGTGAAGATATGATTCTCCGAACTCTTGCCTCACTTCATGTAAGTGCACATCATCATCCCTATCATCTTGTGTTACCTTAACACTTAAGGCTTATTCTCTTCTTTAGTTTGTTCTATTAGGGTCTTGACAGAATTACTTGCTGACTTTGTCTTCTGTGATTCTTCTCCCTAATTGTCGTCTCTGCTGACTTTTTCCCAGTAGATTCCTGTGTGTTTGATGTAGCTTTCCCTTAATTGTATGCTTAATACAACGAAGCCTGGCATGTGATCGTTTGAGAATAGAGGTGGAGGCAGTCACTGCAGCCTTTCTCTGGCTTGAGAACCAGCTGTAGGACACATGTTGTGATTGTAACTGACTTACAGAGCATGTTGAGAAAGGTGGAGACATGCATGTAAAGTAGCAAGCATCGCTTCAGAGGTCCCATGTAGTTAGCGTCCTTTGGATATTTTCTCTAGGGTATGTCGGTGTGTTGGAAAATGAACTGACTGAGTGGTGTGAACTGATGCATGGCAAGCTAGATGTTGTCATGGTCCCTTTGGGAGCTAGTGAACAGTGTAGAGGTGCAAGTAGATCATCACGGTCTGAAGAGAATGGTGCAGCTAGGGGTGACCACAGAATAGATAGATAGATGGAGATAGATAGATAGATAGATAGATAGATAGATAGATAGATAGATAGATAGATAGATAGATAGATAGATAGATAGATAGATAGATAGATAGATAGATAGATGGATGGATGGATGGATGGATGGATGGATGGATGGATGGATAGATAAAGTCATTACATCTGGTATGAGAATGGAGATGGAGGTAGTAACTAAAGCTTTCTGATAACTTGAGAGCAGCACAGCGAACAGTGTGTGATTTTAACTGACACAAAAAGAATGCTTTGAAACATTGATGGAAGGATGGGTGAACAGAACTGTAATTAGATGAATAATACTGTATTAAATGCAAAAGTAGAGAATTAGAACAAATAATTACTTGTGTTATGTAATACATCTGTCAGGTTGATGATTTTATTACTTGCTCTGTTTTAAGTTAGGTGAGGTGACCACTTTCTTTCCTCACAAACTCCTCCTTTGTCAGTAAGATTTACACATCAACTTTTGTGTTGAGCTCCTGGATTAGTTCACTGCTTACCTCCCAGTGAGCCGGCTAATCAGACCTTCGTTACCACATAAACAAATTGATTGATTGACCTTTGCATCTTTCCAGGCGATAGTCTTAAATTGCACTACCAGGAGACATAGGGCTCACAGCCTAGGACTAGCTAGACCGAGACCAATTAAGGTCGGGGGATGAAGTTCCTTCTCTGCATGGCACAAAGCCGGGGCACTAAGGTGTTGCACCTAAACAAATAATTGGCTAATATTTGCTGTATCAGTGGCAAGCCTTTTCGTGACAGGCTGTGCATTTGTCTGTCGTTTTGTTGTATTCTGTGGCTTAAGGGTTAGTGAATGCCTTTTAACAGTTTCATGATCCTTGGGTACTGAGGTTAGATTTCTGTAAAGTAAAGGAACTTTTTTCACTCTTTCTGGCATATAGGGCCAGACCTATATTTGATAGACCAATCGGCATTATTTTAGTGATGTTATCACATCACACTGGCCACTTTTACTTCCTAGGACTTTATCTGGTACCCATTTAAGGTTGGATTGACCTGGGAGCCAAGGTCATTTTTGAAAAAAGTCCTTCTGAATCAGCACTTGAACCCATGACCTTCCGATCTCCAGGCGAGTGTCAAGCCGCTACATTATGGCAGCTGCTTTTCTTCTTCTTTCGTTTGGTTGAAATAAATTATCTGTAATGTTGTCTCTAGTAGGAACTTTACTGTCTTGGCTTCCACTGGTGTTTCACTTGGCCAGATGTTTTGCCATGATATGTAATTTTTGGGACATGGGCTATTTATTGTCTCAGGTACCAGTCCACATGTGCACAGAGTTCACTCACCATTCTTTGATTTTGTGTACGTATGGCAGCGAAGTCGATTTTGTTTTGCTCTAAGATGTTGAATAATGACTTGCTCTGGTATGCCAATACTACGATAGAAGTTTTGTTCTAAGATGTTGAAAAATGACTTGCTCTGGTATGCCAATACTACGATAGAAGTTATGGTTCTGTGGCTTTCTAATTGATTTGATGTCACGTTCTTCGTTATCTCAAGTGGATGTGTTTTTTTAAAACATTATCATGATTTTAGCTGGGCGTGATGCTGACCACATCACCCACCAAGCGCCGATTGGTCTATAAAATATAGGTCTAGCACTTTATGCCCAATATGCCTAAAGGTGTGGAAAAGGGTCCTTTTATTATCATGGTTTGGTCAGGAACACAAGAATCGCGCTATAGAAGAGATTAGGGCCTCAGCACATGCTATTCTTAATGACAGCAGCGGGTGCACGGTAGGGAGCTTTTATTGTCGAAGACACACGTAACATTTTTGTGTGTGCTTCTTTTCTAGTCTCACAAAGAGGAAGAGAGGATACAGCACGCGGCCACTAGCATCGCAGAACACGCTTACAATCTGTCATTAGACCCCGACTACATGTCTCCATTTGCCCTTTCTGCCAGCAGCATTGGTATCGATTTGACGGGTAAGTTCTGTGTTGTCTGCTCATAATTTGTTTTTAGAAGGTTGGGCAGGAGGAAGAGGGAGGCCACTTCTCCTGTAAGAAAACTGTTGAATCCATTAAATTAGCATGTGAAATAATTTGTGTATTGATTGGCACTCTTTGATACAGAGATACCCCATTGTGAGGAGAACAAGAAGAATAGGCCCACTACCTACCCACAAGCATGTCGTAATAATTTGAGCTTCCTATGTAGCTGGAGTGCATCTTCCTGAGGGGCAAGGAACCAGCAGTCTGCATACACATGTCAGATTTGTGAAATGGGTGTGCACACAATGTTCAGGGTCTGGAACAGGGCTAGAATCCAGAAGTGGATGAACAGACAGAATTTTCTGCCAGAGAAGAAGAAGAAGAGTTTAAAAGGCTGTAGTTCACTCATTGAGCCAGCAGCTAGATGTCAGTTGGTTGTTGAACATCTGACGGGTCGCCCCTTAACTGCTCCCTTCTTATGCCACTGGACATCACACAAAATGTCCTTCACTTTTCTATTTGAAAAACTAGGGAAACAACTTGCTGATCCCAGCAGAATATTTAAGCTTGCATGCAAAGTAAAAATGCATAGGTCTGCTGTCAGATGTGCCAACACCAACAGTCCCATGCCAGAACTGCAGCTCACTGTTGGTGCAAATGGCTGGTCATGAAAAGTGGCATTGCACATGCAGAAAAACCTGCCAGTCTAAACATATCTGCCAACCGTCATTTTAATGTGATCAACAACATGCTGCAGGTACAACAGAAACAAAAACAATCCACGTGAGATCCAGGTTCAAAAACCTGGTGCGCCTGGAGAAGTCTGTGTACAGTTTAAGTGACAGGGCATGGTTTTAACCTGTTGCCTCCTAGATGGAGACATTTACCTTGCTTATGGAGCAGATGGCAAGTTGGTCCTTACGTAGCAGTCATTCACAATTTAGGACTCTTATGTCTTACCTAGGCCCTGTCTCCCCTTTGCTTGATGGATACTGTTTCTCCAGTAATCCAGTGGAAGGTTAGGACAGTAAATGAGGAAAGGAAAAATCTAGTTCCATAGCCAGCTACTGAGTTAGTGCCTGGTGCGACACTGTGAATTTCTTGGTAAATTGCTAAATGAAACATAAAATGTGAATAGAAAACTCAGCATAGGGAATGAAAAAGATCGGCTCAAATACAGCCAAATGTTTCGACCAAAGTCTGTATCATTGCAGTACTAAAAACAAGGTATCAGGAAAAGATATAATACCGAACAAAAAGTATATTAGCAAGCTTCACAATATAACATACAAACAAAACGTCAATGTGGCTGTGGAGCCTTCATCAGCACATACAAATCAAAAACAATACTAGATACAGCATAAACTGTGACAGACCTTCTAATCAACCAAGGTCAACATAAAGCCATTCTTGGGGAATGCTTATTATCTGTGATCTGGGAGATGTGGGTTGTAAACTGCATATTCAGAAAATGTAAAATGGCTGGTTGCCACAGAACTGGCGGTGTGCCTTGTGCAGTGATGCATGTGGGCCTGCTTGTTTGTCATGCCTGCTGCTTCCATAAACTATAAATGGCAGTCCTCGTGTCAGACTGTAGGGTGTTGGCACGTCTAGTGGCTGTTTTATGCATTCAATGCATGTATGTGCAAGCTATTGGATTTTGTCATGACTGCTGTATGTTTGATTTTTCACAAGGGACAGTGATTGGCATTTTGTGTGAATTTCACGAGCACAGTAACAGAGCAATTATGGGGTGATACATTTGTGATAAAACTGGAACCCTGACGACTAGACCATTTTAGGTGCTGCCATTTTCTTGTAGGTTTCGGGTTTGAACCCTAGTGGATCCTAGAGAAAGTTGCCTACAGAAAATAACGGTGTCAGAATGCGAACCTTCCGCCTGCAGGAAATGAGAGTATGTCATTGATGAAGCAGGTGGCTAGCTTGTTCTATGGATGTTGATGTGTACCTGATAATTTGTTGCCCCTGGTAGATTCTGATGGGTTCATATTTTAAAAAAAATGGGGAAGTGGGGGGGGGGGGCGTTAATGCAGAAAACATTTGTTGACTTTTAAAAAAAAACGATTTTTGTTCTAGAAATTTTGGTTTGTGACCCTTTGAATGGTATTTAATGGGTGATATATTTGATTATTGTTGTGTTTATTTCAGGGGGTAAGCCAGACGACATCACCTGTATAGTGGCCAGAGTAACATCACAGTCTGATATCTTCATGTGAGGCTGAACTCAGAGTGTGAGGCTGAGCTCTAGGTGTGAGGCTGAGCTCAGGGTGTGAGGCTGAGCTCAGGGTGTGAGGCTGAACTCAGAGTGTGAGGCTGAGCTCATAGTTTGTGAGGCTGAGCTCTAGGTGTGAGGCTGAGTTCAGGGTTTGTGAGACTGAACTCAGGGTGTGAGGCTGAGTTCAGGGTGTGAGGCTGAGCTCTAGGTGTGAGGCTGAGCTCTAGGTGTGAGGCTGAGCTCTAGGTGTGAGGCTGAGCTCTAGGTGTGAGGCTGAGTTCAGGGTGTGAGGCTGAGCTCTAGGTGTGAGGCTGAGTTCAGGGTGTGAGGCTGAGCTCTAGGTGTGAGGCTGAGCTCTAGGTGTGAGGCTGAGCTCTAGGTGTGAGGCTGAGCTCAGGGTGTGAGGCTGAGTTCAGGGTGTGAGGCTGAGTTCAGGGTGTGAGGCTGAGCTCTAGGTGTGAGGCTGAGTTCAGGGTGTGAGGCTGAGCTCTAGGTGTGAGGCTGAGCTCTAGGTGTGAGGCTGAGTTCAGGGTGTGAGGCTGAGCTCTAGGTGTGAGGCTGAGCTCTAGGTGTGAGGCTGAGCTCTAGGTGTGAGGCTGAGCTCTAGGTGTGAGGCTGAGCTCTAGGTGTGAGGCTGAGCTCAGGGTGTGAGGCTGAGTTCAGGGTGTGAGGCTGAGCTCTAGGTGTGAGGCTGAGTTCAGGGTGTGAGGCTGAGCTCTAGGTGTGAGGCTGAGCTCTAGGTGTGAGGCTGAGCTCTAGGTGTGAGGCTGAGCTCAGGGTTTGTGAGACTGAACTCAGGGTGTGAGGATGAACTCATGGTTTGTGAGGCTGAGCTGAAGCTGTATGAGGTTGAGCTAAAGTTGTGGGGGCTAAGCTCCTGGTTTGTGAGGCTGAGCTGAAGCTGTATGAGGTTGAGCTAAAGTTGTGGGGGCTTAGCTCCTGGTTTGTGAGGCTGAGCTGAAGCTGTATGAGGTTGAGCTAAAGTTGTGGGGCTAAGCTCATGGTTTGTGAGGCTGAGCTGAAGCTGTATGAGGTTGAGCTAAAGTTGTGGGGCTTAGCTCCTGGTTTGTGAGGCTGAACTGAAGCTGTGTATGAGTTTGAGCTAAAGTTGTGAGGGGCTTAGCTCCTGAAAAAGTGAGGTTTGTGAAGCTGAACTGAAGCTGTATGAGGTTGAGCTAAAGTTGTGGGAGCTAAGCTCCTGGTTTGTGAGGCTGAACTGAAGCTGTATGAGGTTGAGCTAAAGTTGTGGGGCTAAGCTCCTGGTTTGTGAGGCTGAACTGAAGCTGTGAGGCTGAGATAAAGCTTAACCTGTGAGACTGAGCTCAAGCTGTGAGACAGAGCTCAGGAGAGCTGAAGATGTGAAAGAAGGGAGGTTTGCTTACTTCCAGAATCTGACTGCATCACTGAAAGTAGTCTTAATGGATTGCATGTGATTATGTGCTAGCAGTAATGGACAAATATATGTGTGCGGGATCAAATGAGTAATACAATGGTTGGTGTATATGGGATAATATAGATGTGTCTATATGTTAATGACATGATAGGCACGTGTATGTGATTATGTGGTATTAGTGAAAGGTAAATTGATGTGTTTAAGTGCGGTCCTGTTGACCGGGCAACTGATATATGTGGCACATACGTTTGTTATGTGAATTATTGTGTGACAAGTGGTTGGTGATAATGTTCTGGCAAGACAGACTTGGATGATGAGAATCCAGACAGATATCTAGCACAACATGTGTCTCATCTTTGTCTCATCGGCAAGACAGACTTGGATGATGAGAATCCAGACAGATATCTAGCACAACATGTGTCTCATCTTTATCTCACTGGGTCAGAAACCTGTTCCCAAATCTGAGAACACAATGATTAAATGTGAATTGAACTATTTTATGACATGAGTGGGAATGTATTTTGTATATACATTACTGATGATGTCATATCAGATGAGTAATTCTGACTTTGTGTGTGCTTTTGATTGCAAACATGTTGACTCCGAATGTATAATGCACAGTTTTGTTACCTCCGTTGTTCTCTTTCTACTCTTGATTTATCTAAAGTTCAAAGCTGAGAATTTACATCATTGCACTGGGTTTTATCCCATTTGGCTTAGTCTCTCTGCACAGAACTGCTAGCCACCTGCGGAGGGCCTTGCACAAAGCATGAACACCATAGCTCTGTTGGTGGTCCAGGGTCTGCGTAAAAATTGCACTGGTGGAGAAGGACATAGCCATGAAACGACCCTATGACCCTCAGAGTGTAGGGCAGATAGATGGCTTGATCACTTCTCCTCCTCCTTCAGTGTCCCAAGCTCTTGAGGTTTATGCCTGCAGATATCACCCGCCCAAATTCTTCTCAGTGACTGGCCTTCTCTTACCAGTGGCGTTCTCTTACCAGATATGTCTGCTACTGTGCATGATTGGCTCAGTGTGTTTTCTTTCTTTCTTGTCTTAATGTGTCTGCTGGTATGCAGGATTTTCTGAGGTGTTCTTTCTTTGCTACTTACATTTTTCTGTTGTTCCTGTAGCACACTAGTTGTGCATACATTGCACTCCTCTTCTCTCTGACATCTTTTCTCACTGGGTCCACACTTAACCCTTTTGATACCAGAAGGTTTCACAGGAGATTCCAAAAGTAATATGTAACCATGATGAACAATCGTGAATGCATTACTTTCAATGTGGCTGTATGCACACTGGTAATGATCATTTGGGAAAGCCAGGTGTATTTAGTGCGTTCTGACCAAAAATAAAAAGAAATAAGAGAGCACATTATGCTACGGAGGGGAATCAAGGAGTAGATTCAGTAACATATCAGAGGTTGCTCGGGACTAACAGAGTTTAATCCAAATTAATACAACCTGCACATCTTCTCTCAGTTGACATTGTATCTTCCATCAGCGAATGTTCATGTGTCTTGTTTTTCTTTACTTCGTCCAGTTGCCGTACTGAGATGCTGGATGTCAGGATCTTCTGTTTGCTCTCAGTAATGCTTTTTATAGGTTGGTTTTAATTTCTCCTAAGCTGTTCTTGATGTTGTCATTCCATGACTTGCGTGGTCTTCCCCTTGTGCTGTGTTTATTGTATTTCTTCAGCGTGGCAGTTAGTACCAGGGCTTTTGCTTCAGATGGCCAAATCATCTCATCTGCTAATACAGTGCAGACCTGGTGAGAACTCACGGGGGGGTCCAAGAAATAGTTCTTCTTATCAGAAATTCCTCTTATCTGGATGAGATTTCAAGCAAGAAAAGTTGCCGGGGATTAACAAATGGTTCTTCACAACTGAAATTTGCCACATCCAAGAACATTTAAAAAGCGGTTTGCATTGAATATAGTGTTTAGAAAGGCGGCTTTGTCTGTCACAGTTAAAATATTAAATGATGTGGTTTTTAGCTATGAATGCCTGTATCTTCATCAGATTAAAGAGTTATCCCCTCCTGCCTGTGTCTTTGTTACATTCTGTTCCTTCTGCTACTTCTCTTGTAGCATTCTCTTCTTTCTCTTACTTTTTTTTTTCTTTTAGGTATTCTTTCCTAACCAGTTTTTTTTTTTGGGAGATATTTTACTAAAGATAGCCAGAGATTCCGGTTAGGTCTGGGCATGTTGACAGTTTGAAATATTTCTGTTGTTTGTTTTGTTTAACTCGGCAGATAAGCATGGGATGTTGTATATTTTTTTATAGTTCATGAAATTTGTTACAAACAGGACAATAAAATCGTAATCAAAGTTGAGAACTAGAGTTGGTGACTGAGTTTGGGTTGGTGAGTAAATGAGTTTATGTGGAGTGAGTACATGAGTTTGTATGGAATGAGTTTGTGTGGGGTGAGTATATCAGTTCCTGTGGGGTGAGTACATGAGTTTGTATGGAATGAGTTTGTGTGTGTGAGTACATGAGTTTGTTTGGGGTGAGTATATCAGTTCCTGTGGGGTGAGTACATGAGTTTGTATGGAATGAGTTTGTGTGGGTGAGTACATGAGTTTGTATGGAATGAGTTTGTGTGGGTGAGTACATGAGTTTGTATGGGGTGAGTATATCAGTTCCTGTGGGGTGAGTATATCAGTTCCTGTGGGGTGAGTACATGAGTTTGTATGGGATGAGTACATGAGTTTGTATGGAATGAGTTTGTGTGGGTGAGTACATGAGTTTGTATGGGGTGAATGTATCAGTTCCTGTGGGGTGGGTAAATTTTTGTATGTGTGTATGGGTGGGATCAAGTGATTATAGGTGGGTGAGTGAGTGAGTTATATAAAAACAACAAAATTGCCAATATCCAATTTTTTTTAATTACTATCATCCAACATTGATTTTCCTCACTTCATCTTTCACCGCTTTTGGTATCGAGGGAGACGCATAATTATGCTTCCGGCTTTTCTGGCTGCAAACCTCCTCATAGACCAGCGTGCTGTTGTAGAGTTTCTCTGTTATCTTTCCATCTTGTTCTTTGCCCACCTCATGTTCCGCATCCTTCTCATCTTTTCATGTATGCCTTATATGGTATGACATCACAAGGCATTTTCTCCTAAGTAAACAAATCATTTGATTTGCAATCTTTATATGTAATTTAGAAGTGGTTTCTGTTTTGACCTCATTCCTGATTTGATCTCTTTCACAGTCACCCCTGCAAGCCTCCAACATTGTTGTCAACATAAAACTAAAGTCCAGTCATCTTATTTTTCTTCTTCTTCTTCTTCTTCTTCTTCTTCTTCTTCTTCTTCTTTTGTCTTCACCCTGTTAACTGGTTGTAGCCCAATTTCCTCATGGTTTTTCATAGTTGTCTGCCCCCCTCTAGTAGCTCAAGTGATGATGTCTCCTTCTCAAGTGATGATGTCTCCCTCTCAAGTGATGATGTCTCCCTCTCAAATGATGATATCTCCCTCTCAAGTGATGTCTCCCTCTCAAGTGATGTCTCCCTCTCAAGTGATGTCTCCCTCTCAAATGATGATGTCTCCCTCTCAAGTGATGTCTCCCTCTCAAGTGATGTCTCCCTCTCAAGTGATGTCTCCCTCTCAAGTGATGTCTCCCTCTCAAGTGATGATGTCTCCCTCTCAAGTGATGTCTCCCTGTCAAGTGTGATGTCTCCCTCTCGTCCCGCTCCCTTTTTTTTTCCAGTCTTTTTTTTTTTTTTTTTGCAGGATTTAGCTACGCCATTACCCATTTCTCCAATGGTCTCCTCTCACCTTCCACTCAGATAATCTGCTATAGAAAAGTCTCATATACAGTTGAATCTGGCTGCAGTATTACAGTTCTCCTTTTTATAGTCCGTGACATTGGTAGTCTTGTCTATCCATAACCTTTTGTCTCATGTACTTTCAGTTAGTACTGATATAGATGATCTTCCATGTCAAGATATCAATATCTTCTCTCTCTGTCTTATTCTGCCATTTTTTTTCCTCCAACTCTTCCGCCATCAAAATCCCGCCTTTCTCTTTCACATGACATGAGGAAGGAATGTAGATTGTCTTCTTCTGATGTGTGCTGTCAGTTCTGTCCATATCTTCACGACATATTCATTTGCTGTTTTTTTTTTTAATTCAGGGTGTTATCACTCAACCACACCTCCTCCGCTTCCACTGTTGCAGTCCAGTAGTTTATTAAAAATATGAATCGGTTTCATTTATATCAAAGAATCAATCCAGCTGGCTCGTGACTCCTGAATCTTCAAGAATCAATCAGAGAGATCGTTTTGGTTGGCTCTTGTAGCGTCAGTCGTGCAAGATTCTCCGCCCGTGTTTTTGCGCTGTGTTTTTGAGTTTCAACAGGGTCCATTTGGTCGAACTTGTTGAAGTTGATACACCTGAAATGAGAGATTGGACAAAGATTTGGGAGAGTGAGAGATATAACATAAAAGTAGCACATAATTAAAAAAAGATCTTTTTTACAAAAAGGTTAGATGATAAAAAATATCAGGATTAGTTATGACAGTCTGAAAATGTTGCACATATTATAAAAACATATAATCACACATATAAATCGCACATTTTAATACACCTATAATCCACACACATATTATAATCGCACATATAATCGCACATAAAATACACATATTTTAACATATTTACACACATAATTACATATTAATCGCAGCATCGCACATATAGTTACATATAATTACATAAAATCGCACATATAATTACATATAATCGCACATATAATTACATTACTTGCACATAAAAATATAATTACATTAATCGCATATAATGTAATTACCTCAAATCGAGGTCGATTACCTGACAGCCAAGGTCATATAAATTACACACAAAATATTCAGGATAATCGCAACCCATTACATATAATCGCACAATTACATATAATCGCACATATAATTACATATAATCGCACATATAATTGCACATATAACTAGATAAATAAAATAGTCACCATGCCATTAAAAAAATAATTTAAATTACCTTTAGATTAAATGTTTTTAAAAAATCATTATTATGTGCAGAAATGAATAAACTTTCTTATAGTGTGTGCTGGGAGTCACCGTGGCGTTGATGGCTAGACACCCGCCTGTGGATCAGAAGGTCGTGGGTTTGCGTCCTGACAGCGATTTTTTTTTTTTTTTAAATTGACCTTGACTCCCAGGTCGACCTAGCCTTGAGTGGGTACCAGGTACAAGCCCAGTTAAGTAAAGGCGACTGGCAAGATGCTGACCACATTACCCACCAAGTGTCGATTGGTCTATAAAAATATATCTAGCCCTATATTTCCAATACGCCTAAAGGCGGGGGGAAAGGGTCCTTTGCTTTACTTTTAGCGTGTGTGTTTACTTTTTTTTAAAGTGAAATTCCCGAATGTTGAAGAAAATAAATCAGTTTTTAGTTAGGCTCTTTCCTTAACAGTCGTACACATGTGTAAGCCTATTTACATGTCTGACTGTGTGAATACTTTTATATACTTATCTTTAGGTATGTCTGTTTATCACATTATCTGTCTGTCTTATTTATAAGTATTCCGATCGTGTCTTTTTTACGGTTATGTCTCCCTCTCCCCCTTCTCTCTCTCTCTCTCTCTCTCTCTCTCTCTCTCTCTCTCTCTCTCTCTCTCTTTCTCTCTCTCTCTCTCTGTGAAATCTGTCTGTCCTATTTATAAGTATTCCGATCGTGTCTTTTTTACGGTTATGTCTCCCTCTCCCCCTTCTCTCTCTCTCTCTCTCTCTCTCTCTCTCTCTCTCTCTCTTTCTCTCTCTCTCTCTCTCTCTGTGAAATCTATCTGCCTAATTTTTCTCCCTAGCAGATCCTGGAACAACTAATTCTATCTATCTATCTATCTATCTATCTATCTATCTATCTATCTATCTATCTATCTATCTATCTATCTATCTATCTATCTATCTATCTATCTGTCTGTCTGTCTGTCTGTCTGTCTGTCTGTCTGTCTGTCTGTCTGTCTGTCTGTCTGTCTGTCTGTCTGTCTGTCTGTCTGTCTGTCTGTCTGTCTGTCTGTCTGTCTGTCTGTCTGTCTGTCTGTCTGTCTGTCTGTCTGTCTGTCTGTCTGTCTGTCTGTCTATGTCTGTCTATCTCTCTCTCTCTCTCTCTCTCTGTCTGTCTGTCTGTCTGTCTGTCTGTCTGTCTGTCTGTCTGTCTGTCTGTCTATCAATCTTTCTGTCTATATATACATGGTGGCCGATTTTCTTCCATTCTGCATACATGTCCAAACCATCGTAACTGTGACTGATCTAGTCGGGTTAGTAAGGGCTGGGTATCAAGATCTTTACGTATTGTCTGATTGCGGACTTTGTCCCTTCTTGTCACTTGGACCACCTTTCTTAGATATCTCATTTCTGAGGCCTGGAGCTGGCTTCTGTGAGCTGTTGTCATTGCCCATGACTCACACCCATAGGTCAGGACTGGTACATAGGTAGAGCGGTAAACAGCCATTTTCGTCCTCTTGCCAATTTCTCTTTTGCTAAGAAACACCCGGTTTATGGCCTGGAAGAGTCTCCCAGCAGCTGCTTTCGTGTAGCCAGCTCAGTCTTAATGCCTCCATTTCGGTCTAATACAACTCCAAGGTATTTGAACTGGTTAACCTGCTCCAATGCATACTGTCCCATCATGATCTGGTGTTTCTTCTCCTCTCTTGAGATCACCACGGTTTTAGTTTTGGAGATACTGATGTTCATCCCTTTCTTTTCAAGCTCTTCCTTCAAGACAAGTAAGTTGGAATGAAGGTGTGCCTCTGATTTAGCTATCAGGGCCACATCGTCTGCAAAGGCCAGCTCTGATATACAGATTGGTCTCATCTTCCAGTACCCTACAGAGTACTTCTTTGTCTTCTCCTTACAGGTCTTGATGACATCATCCATCATAAGAATGAAGAGGTAAGGTGAGAGAATATCACCTTGTCTAACACCGCTGGTGGTCTTAAATTCTTCTGACTTTTGGTCTGCCGTTCTTACATAAATCTGAGTACATGTATAAATGTATCTATCTGTGTGTCTTTCCACATGTCGATCTGTATGTTTATCGCCTCTTCCCCAAAGATCTATCAATCACATCCCCCTTCCCTCTCCACACCACGCTACCTACTTACCACTTGTCATTTAGAGAGTCATATTCTTCAACGGGAGCGAACCTATACCCCCAGCATATCTCAGCGCTACCGATAGAGGTCTTGGCTTGCATCATCTCTCCTGTGGACTCAATCGTACCTTCTAGAATTATCAGTAACTCGAAGGGATCTTCCAGTAGATCTGAAATTTTAACTACATATCATTAAAATAGTGCGGGCACAAACAATACATTGGACAATTTATTGCATGAAATATTTGCATCTCGTCACTACGGAGTTGCGTCAGCATTTAATGAAGCACAAAAAAACTGAAATAATTCCACTGAAATACACATCGCATCGTCACCTAACAGGCGAATGCTGAGATTAGTCGAAGCCTTAACAATTAAAAAAAAAAAAGCAAATTACTTTATGTAAACCGAAAGAGGTCGTTATAAATTTGAAGTTACCTGGTAAATCACGTGATTATCGTGAACTTTCGCCGATTAGATGAACAATGCACCGAGACTGTGTGAAGGCAAAGAAGAAGAAGAACAGGAGGAAGAAAAAGAAACCTGAACATTACAGAAATAGAGAGTCGAACAGCAGCCAAGCGGGTGTGGATAAACAAAAGAAAATACGGCATTTCTAAGTATTGGTGCTAGCTTTCCTTTAAAATTAATACAATAGGGAATGACATGCATTGGTGAGTACTGTTCTGCACCGAGCTGACTTTGTGCTTTGGGGAGGAGACACATCATCTCTAAGTTTTATCGCCATAGGCCATGATTCCTTTGTATGCCTATAGCACAGTGGAGCAGAATCGTCTGAAAAGGCGGAAAGGTACCAACTTTTCGTTGTCGTTTTCTTCTTTTTCTTCTTCTTATTCTCCAGGCTATGCTGACGTAGTGGGTAATGAACAGGCAGACAGATCGGCTGGATCTGCATCGGGGGGGGGGGGGGTACTGAATTTATACATGACAAGGCAGATGTGGTCAAGGCCCTTTGGGAACAAGCAACGGAATTAGTACAGAAAGAAGATTATTATGGCCTGGAGAGAATGAGGCACCTGAGTGTAACCAGAGGGTCTGGCCGGCTCTCTACACTCAGAGGAAAGGCAAGACGGACATATAACCAGATTGTGACCAGTACCATCAGTATTGGAACTCTGTGTTGACTGCTGAAGATGAGGACGGGGTACGCATGGGAATGCTCTGAGTTCTGTGATGTCAATTCTTGACTCAACTCTTCTTTTTCTTCTTCTTCTTCTTCTTCTTCTTCTTCTTTCTTCTTCTTCTTCTTCTCTTCTTAGTCTCTTTTCTTCTTCTTCTTCTTCTCCTTCTTCTTCTTCTTCTTCTTCTCTTCTTCTTCTTCTTCTTCTTCTTCTTCTTCTGCTTCTTCTTCTTCTCTTCTTCTTCTCTTCTTCTTCTTCTTCTTCTTCTTCTTCTCTTCTTCGTCTTCTTCTTCTTCTTCTTCTCTCTTCTTCTTCTTCTTCTCTTCTTCTTCTTCTTCTTCTTCTTCTCTTCTTCTTCTTCTTCTTTCTTCTTCTTCTTCTCTTCTCTCTTCTTCTTCTTCTTCTCCTTCTTCTCCTTCTTCTCCTTCTTCTCCTTCTCCTTCTCCTCCTTCTCCTCCTTCTTCTCCTTCTTCTCCTTCTTCTCCTTCTCCTTCTCCTCCTTCTTCTCCTTCTTCTCCTTCTTCTTCTTCTTCTTCTTCCCCTTCTTCTCCTTCTTCTTCTTCTTCTTCTTCTTCTTCTTCTTCTTCTTCTTCTTCTTCTTCTTCTTCTCCTTCTTCTCCTTCTCCTCCTTCTCCTCCTCCTCCTCCTCCTCCTGCTGCTGCTGCTGCTGCTGCTGCTTCTTATTCTTCTTCCTCTTATTCTTCTTCTTCTTCTTCTTTCTTCTTCTTCTTCTTCTTCTTCTTCTTATCTTCTTCTCTTCTCTTCTCTTCTTCTTCTTCTGCGTGCCTAATTTGTAACCTTAGAAAATAAAGTTCGTTCGTTCGTTCGTTCTTCTTCTTCTTCTTCTTCTTCTTCTTCTTCTTCTTCTTCTTCTTCTTCTTCTTCTTCTTCTTCTTCTTCTTCTTCTTCTTCTTCTTCTTCTTTTTCTTCTTCTTAGCGATCATCGGCTGTAAATTCCAATAGAATGCTCTAATTGTTCGTACACCCCTGGAATGGTTGTGTCCCAAAACTCAAGTTTTGCGTGCACATCCATTTTACTGATCTGGTTTTGAATGCAGATTGTTGTTTCCTTGTCTCTCTGTCAGATGCACTCTGACTTTCAAGGACAATCTCTAATTAGTTAACTCCTGCGACATGCTTGCTATGAGTTGAAGTGGGGTTGAAAGGGGGGGGGGTTATATTATTTCTTCTCAGAATTCACAAGCGACAGTAAAGTTGTATTTCGTGGAAATATCATCATCATCATGTAGCAGGTTCTTTGCAGAAAATCGCTGTCATCACGTCTGCCTAAAAAAACACCGCTGTCGCCAACTGCCCTGCTTCCTGTACTGTCATACCCAAGAAGTCACCTACATCCTCTGCCCATCTTTATGCTGGTCGGTCCCTGCCTCTCCTCCCTGGTACCATACCTTCTGCTATTTCTTCTCGAGCCACCCGTGGTGCTTGGTGTGACAAAAATATTTCACTTTCCTGGACAATTTAAACAGTCGCATTCACAGGTTCTGTGATAAATGAGGTCATTTGCCTGATCAGCACATGATGATGATGGTGGTGACTGATTGGCATCTTTCCAGACGATAGTGTTATATTGCGTTCTGAGGGGCATGGGACTCACAGCCCATGGTGACGGCGAGTGTGACTAGCAAGACCCGCCCGTCTTTCACAATTATAGCATGGGATTTCAGGACCAATGTTGTCAACCGTTGTGTTTGGTCTGTTTCTTCTTAGACACTCAGCTCTCATCCTTTCTGCAATCATTTCTTCCTTCATTCTCATTCCCTCTTGGTGTACATACTCCACACAACACGGTTAATGGTATTTTGTTCCTACGAGTCCACCTCAATACCTGTATCATTCATGTCCCGCGTGCACACATTATTATATCGTAGAAGAGGTCGCCTCGACATCTTCTACCCGTCTTTAATTCCTCATTGAGCAGCGGTTCTCATCCTGTGGGCTGCGACCCTTTTGGGGGTCGAAAGACACTTTCACATATGTGGCCTTAGACTATCGGAAAAAACATATTCACTGAAGTAGAAACGAATATACATAGCTGGTAGTGACTGGGTTATGTATAATTAAACAAAAATGTTACATTACCCGCCGCTGTGACGTCGTAGAGCGGACTGTCCTGTGTGATCACGTGGCTCAACACCATTGGGTAGAAAAGAAAGAGATGGTCTTTCATTCCATGAGCTTTGAACTCCACATTGAACTGTTGGGGAATGTATCAAGTACAACATAAACAGGTCAGTGATTGAGTTTTTGTCTACAGTATTTATGCAAACTAAGTGCTTGAATAAACGCTAGGTCGGTTTACTTCAACCTATCTACATCCATTGCCCACCAAACCAGGGATAATGGTTCCACGGCCCACCACACCAGGGACAGTGGTATCGTGGTCCACCACACCAGGGACAATGGTTTTGCGGCCCACCACACCAGGGACAATGGTATCGTGGTCCACCACGCCAGGGACAAGGTATCATGCTCCACCACACCAGGGACAATGGTATCGTGGTCCACCACACCAGGGACAATGGTATCGTGGTCCACCACGCCAGGGACAAGGTATCATGCTCCACCACACCAGGGACAATTGTATCGTGGTCCACCACACCAGGGACAATGGTATCGTGGTCCACCACCCCAGGGACAATGGTATCGTGGTCCACCACACCAGGGACAATGGTATCGTGGTCCACCACGCCAGGGACAAGGTATCATGCTCCACCACACCAGGGACGATGGTTTCGCAGCCCACCACACCAGGGATAATGGTTTTGCGGTCCACCACACCAGGGACAATGGTTTCGCAGCCAACCACACTAGGGACAATTGTTTCACGGCCCACCACACCAGGGACGATGGTTTCACCGCCCATCACAACAAGGACAATGGTTGCAAGACCCACCACACCAGAGACAATTGTTTCACGACCCACCAGAATAGGGACAATGGTTGCAAGACCCACCACACCAGGGACAATTGTTTCACGGCCCACCACAATAGGGACAATGGTTGCAAGACCCACCACACCAGGGACAATTGTTTCACGGCCCACCACACCAGGGACAATTGTTTTACGGTCCACCACAACAGGGACAATGGTTGCAAGACCACCACATCAGGGCCAATTGTTTCACCGACCATCACAACAGGGACAATTGGGCACGGCAACAAACAGGGACCATTGTTCGCATAGCCCACCACAAACGGGACAGGTGCAAGCCACCCACCAGGGACAAATGGTCTCGCCGGCCCACAAAGACAACTAAAAAACACAAACATCTGCAGATCGTTTCGATGGGCCCGAAAGGTTTGTAACCCCCAGCTCCAATA